AAGAAGAAAAAGGAGAGGGAGAGTGAGGAGAGGGAGGGGGGGGTGAGTGAGGAGAGGGAGAGGGTGAGTGAGGAGAGGGAGAGGGGGTGAGTGAGGAGAGGGAGAGGGGTGTGAGTGAGGAAAGGGAAAGGGAAAGGGAGGGGGTGAATGAGGAGAGGGAGAGGGAATGATGAGTGAGGAGAGGAGGGGGTGAGTGAGGAGAGGGAGAGGGTGAGTGAGGGGAGGGAGAGGGAGGGTGAGTGAGGAGAGGAGGGGGTGAGTGAGGAAAGGGAGAGGGTGAGTGAGGGGAGGGAGAGGGAAGGGTGAGTGAGGAGAGGAGGGGGTGTGTGAGGAGAGGAGAAGGTGGGTGATGAGAGGGAGAGGGAGGAGTGAGTGAAGAGAGGGAGAGGGAGGTGTGAGTGAGGAGAGGGAGGTGTGAGTGAGGAGAGGGAAAGGGAGGAGTGAGTGAGGAGAGGAGGAGGTGAGTGAGGAGAGGGAGAGGGAGGAGTGAGTGAGGAGAGGGAAAGGGAGAAGGGGGTGAGTGAGGAGAGGGAGGGGGGTGGAGGTATGTAAGTAGAGGGGTGAAGAAACTATAATCACATGTAAAGATCACAACGCAAGCCCAGCACTACATAATTTACAGTATGATTAAACTTCTTTTCTATGATATTTGGACAGGATAATATGAGAAGCGAGACTAAATTGTTGATAATTACTTTTTTGTTAAAACCTACTCTTAGATGAAAAGACCAGAACATAAATATTTTTAAAAAATGTAATTTTTTGATTAATGTTTTTGTTTTAAGAGGAGTAGAGTCAGTGACGTTAAATTGATCAAAATGTGGGTGAAGCTTATTAAAACTTGCTTGATCATGATGCAGAAATTTTAAAACGATCATCTTATCAGATCTAGCACTCTATGACGATGATTATCTACCCTCAGAACAGCCCTTACACCTCTCCCTCCTCCCTCCCGCACACTCGTTACTCGTTCCCTTTTATCTCCCGACCCCTCCCCCCCCCCCCTCTACCAAACTGCACCGTCCCCAGATCCCTTTCTTTTAGATTTTCTTTTTCTTCAAGTGACAATCCTACCTGTTTTGGGTAATTTCCACTTGTGTTTTGCACATTGTTGTTGACCTGATGATCAGTACATTTGTGCTATGCCAGTGCTAACTTTATACGGTATATTCACAATTAATTGAACATTAAAGCAATGTATATTTTATTATTACTTTCTGTGTTTTAAATGTTTCTTGTATCCGCTATTTTTGGGGCATCGGGGTAAAATAAGGTGCTCGTGGAAATAATGAAATCAAGGAAATCGACATTATAATTGCTCATTCGGGAATTTGAATAATTTTAAAATTTTGATACAAGCTCACCCCCATTTCAAAGCACATTTAGTATTCTGTTTGGATTTTACTTTTTTGTTGATCATAATGACACAACAATAAATGTAATATTGCAGTTTCCAAGGACTCTCAAGTTTTGAAAATTACCAAAGTTTGGCTGACATTTTCTCGCTGATTCTTCCAGGAGCACTAGGCTGCCCCCACGTCTTCCAATCACAATTAATATATGTGAGGCAGCGTGGTGAAATCTGGCAATGGTCAAAATAATTAAATCGAAAACATGATGTTTTTTTCCCAACAGTTTGGCAATCTTTAATTTATCTCATTTTTTAAATTTTTTTTTTGTTGTACCCAGCACATTTAGGTCCATATAAAAACACTTTTCCATGAGATTTGTTAATTTAAAGGCATAAAATATAACAGTTTTCACTTTTGAAGGACAGATTTTTCGCATGCGGCGGCAAAGCTATTGAAATTACCTAACTTTGGCGGCCATTTCTCATTATTTTTACCTCTGAAACCAGGCGAACCTCCACGCTCCTTCAGCCGCAAATATCTCGACCTATATAATATTTACGATAGATGGTTATTTCTACATCGAAAGCAAGGCAAATTATATCCATTAAAAAACAGTTCCGTGTGGATTTTACCTTAAAAAAACCCATTGATTAAAGGCGAAAAAAAAATTAGTATTCAAAGACTCTCAAGCTATGGAAATTACCAAACTTTGGCGACCATTCCTTATTTTAGCTCTGAAACCAGGCGACCCTGACATTTTCAATCGCAAATATTTCGACTTCTATTCAGCATTAGTGGATCATTTTTAACAAAAGCAAGACGAACGAACAGGCTTTAAGAAGATACCAATAACCTCATATTATGTCCCAAAATTGACGAGCCCCTGACTCCGCCAAGTCGTGACACACATAATTATAGTTTTGCCCTTGTGTGCCAAATTTCAGGCGTAAGTTTCAATATTTTCTATGAATCTGGTTTGAAAATCCAGGATGGCCGCCTCATGGACCCATTTTTCAAAAAAAGTCAACAAATTAACCGTTAATACATCTATAATTTACTAATGATCTTCTTTCTTGCACAATTACATGAACGTGAAGGGCAGTCATTCGTTTAGAAAGCTTTTATCTGGGAGTGTAGGCCTACCTCTCCCCTAAATGAAGTCACTTTGAGCTAAAAATAGAATTTTTGGTAGGTCGATCCACTACACGGGACGAGACCAAAGATGGGTTGCTGGCGGGTGCTCGTGTGTGATTTGTTCCTTCTTTCCTTCCAAACATCTATTGTTCTGATCTCTCCTCCTGTATTTGTTACTCTCTTGTAACACCTCTAATTTTTAGCACTTATATGACCTTATTGTTCTGTATGTGCCGTAAAACTCTTACAAAAACTAAAGAAGACCATACAACGTAGATTTTGAATAATGCAAAAAAAGAATTGATACTAAAATTGATATATGGCTCTTTTTGTCTATGCAGACGATCAATCTACTCGTAGCTTACGATGGTCTCAAGGCCTCATGCAGCTTCTTTCATGGCTAATATTAATATTTCTAATGTATGAATGTCAGTGACGTTAATGAAAGCTCTGTATTTCCGATGTTTTCCTTTCGTTGTTGGCGCTTCTCAACCTTGTTATTTCTGAGGCTGCTCTCTAGTATTAGGGCTTACAGTTTTTTTCCTTTATCATTCTTTCCTTGATGCTAAAAGTATAGTTATGGCGTTTACGAATCACTCAAACTCGTTTGTATATTATCATGATTTACTTTAGTCCAGCTACTTTTCAATGTTTTTATCCATTGTTCTATTTTTAAAAAAGGGTAATTCTATACAGCGTTGTCGTGAAGAAAGTTAAGCCTGTGATTATAATTGTGAGACAGCCTGGTGGAATCAGGGTCTCGTCAATTTTTGGGCATGTAGAGTTATTGGTATCATCTTAAAGCTTGTTCACTTGTTTTTATTTGGATGAAAAAAATATCCATTTATCTTGAATACAAGTCGAGATATTTGTTAAAGAAGGAGGTGGGGTCACTTGTTTTCAGAGGTAAAATTAGTGAGAAAATGGCCACCAAAGATTAGTTATTTCCTTAGCTTTAGAGTCCGTGGTAACTGAAAATGTACATTTTTTTGCGCCTTTAATCAACGTTTTTCGGAAAAATCCTTCAGAAATGAGTTCTTTAATGAGCATGAAAGATGTTGATCCAAAAAAACAAAAATTTGACAACAAATTCACAAACCTGCAGAAAAATGCAAGTTTCTTCACTTTGGTTATTTTGACGAGAGCCTGATTCCACCACGCTGCCTCACAATTGGCAATGTCACAATGTGGATAACTCAGGAGAGAAAAGCATTAAGTAATGTGATAAATTCTTTGCATTTGCCCAAGTGGCTGACGGCAAGATAAGATTATAATTATAGTTTAAAGTCTCTTTGGGAATTTTTGTTTTGCTACACAGAAAATGTAAAAACACAGGAAGACAAGCATGTAATTGAAATTGCACTTTACTACCATAAAAATGTTCATTATGACGGAGAAAAATAAAAGCTAACAATAAATACATTTCAGATCAATTCTTGCATCTCTAGCACTACTTGCAGGAATTTTTAAGAGAATTTAAAACGTTAAGATGTAAGGATAGGGCCTAATGATAATAATTTCTTAAACATATTTGTGTTGCGACGTGGTGAAATCAGGCGCACATCAATTTTTGGGCGTAGGCTATAGAGTTACTGGTATTATCTCCAAGCATGTTAATTTGTCTAGCACAAGGCGAATAAATGCCCATCTATTTTAATAGAAATTGAGATATTTGAGATTGAAGGAGATGGGGGTTGCCTAGTGTGAAAAGACAAAATAAAGTGAGAAAATGCCTGCCAACGTTTTGTGACTTTCAATCTTGATTGTCCTTGAAAACTGGAAATTTACTTGTTTTTCATCTTTTTTTCAATGTTTTTTCTGAAACATCCACACAGAAATGTGTTTTCAATAGGACATCAAAGGTTTTGAGCCAAAAAAGGAAAATTTGGAAAAATTGCCTCATAGCCCAGAAAAAAAGCTGATTTCTCTTGTTCCCTTCTTTCGACGAGCGCCTGATTTCACCAAGATGCCTCACAAAAAATAATTTTATTATATTTCTTTTTTATTCATTAGTCCCCACGGGCAGTTTGCTGGAAATAAGGAGTCAGGTGACTTATAACCTTTATTTTACTGAACTATTGAATTATTTTCTTATAACTCAAGTTGTAAAGTGATCACATTCTTTTGTTTTTCTTGAGTTAAGAGAATCATGTCGACACAAAAAGGGGTCCTAAGTTTTTGAGTAAATTTGGTAAAGATACAAAGAAATATAGGTATAACATTATACATTGTTTTTCTTTGAATAAAGAGAAGTTCATGCACATTATAATAGGTAACTCGTTATTTATTGCGGAGAAAGGGAAAGAGTCAGACGGAAGCAATCGAAGAAATAACATAAAGTAATATAAAGATAAATTAAAATAAATTAAAATTTAAAAAAAATGTAATATAAATAAATTAAATTTAATAAAACAAAACAATTTTTTTAAAAAATGTATATATAATGATTAATGAAATATTTTGTTAAAGGAGAGAAAAAAAGAGAATAATAAAAAAAACAAGCAAAAAACTCCCCCACAGAAACATTTCATAAACTTCACCCTGCTACTCAGAAATAAATCGAAATGTAAACAGGTCAAAAGCAAAAAAAAAACAAAAAACAACTAATAATTAACACATTTTTAACAAAATACACAAAAAATCCACTTAAGAAAACAACAACAACAAACAAACAAACCAAAAAACAAACAAACAACCAAAAACAAAACTCGTAAAGTTCCTGTCCAACTAGATGGTATTGGTAGTTTACTGTCTTGCAACAGATCAGCTACGAATCAGGGACTACGGTTATGAAGGAGTCATAGGGCCAGCAGATCTGTGACGTCACTATCCAAAAAGTTCAGCTCTTGTTTTGCTCCATAGGTCACCGGATTCCCTTAGGGATCTATGGGAGTGAAATTATGTAGTATTGTTATAATAGTCATCGTAGTTGTTGTAGTTGTTGTGATTATTTTTTATTGTTGTTGTTGTTGATGGTGGTGGTGGTGGTGGTGGTGGTGTTTTTGTTGTTGGTGTTGTGCTGTTGTAGTAGTAGTAATTTTTGTTGTTGGTGTTGTTTTTGTTGTTTTTGTTGTTGTTGTTGTCGTCGTCTTCGTCGTCGTTGTTGTTGTTGTTATTGATGATTAACTTCTTCTTCTTCTTCTTCTTCTTTTTCTTCTTCTTCTTCTTCTTCTTCTTCTTCTTCTTCTTCTTCTTCTTCTTCTTCCCCTCCCCTCTGTCTCTCCCCTCATCTCCTCACTCACTTGACAATGTCTGTAACAGCCTGGTTGAAAGTCTTTTCACTCGAACCTCTCCTCCTCTCACCACGCTGCACCCCCCTCCCCTCCTTCCCCTCCCTTCTGTCTCCCCTTATCTCATCACTCACTTGACAATGTCTATAACAGCCAACCTCACCCTATCCCCCTCCTTGCTTCCTCTCCCTTCCCGTCCCCTTTCCATCCCACCACTCCACTCCCCTCCTCACCTCACCACACCCTGACCCCTCACCTTACCACCCCTTCATCTCCCCTCCCCTCCGTCTCCCCTCAACTCATCACTCACTTGACAATGTCTATAACAGCCTGTGTGAACGTTTTTTCACAGTAGTAGATCCCGTGTTTCTTACATAGACTCTGAACAAAGGGGACCACCTTATGCAGGTTATGGCGGGGGAGAGTTGGGAACAAACTGGGGGGAAATGAATAACATTGAAAAAAAATCATTAATAAATCATTAATATATTAATGATTAATCTAAAGAATAATTAGAAAGATAAAAAATGTCAACTGCCGAACAGAAGACGAACCAACCAAACAAACAACCGACCGACCAACCAACCAAGAGATCGACCAACTGACCACTCAAGCAACCAACCAACCAACCAACCAACCAACCAACCAACCAACCAAACAACCGACCAAACAACCTACCAACCAAACAAAAAAAAAAAAAGAACAAGCAAAGCGATACATAATAAATAACAGATACGTAAAGATACAGAAAGATTAAAGGAAATACAAAGTTTTAATAATGCATAAATATAATCATTGAATGGATTAGTAGGAATAAGGTACTTACAGTGTTGAGTGAACAAAATATCAACAACCAAAAAAAATCAACCAAACATGAAAACAAACTAACAAGAAGATAAAATAATATACAGACAATATGCGTATAAACAGACAGATTAAAGACAATAAACGATTTTGATAATGATTCAGTTGGTCAGAAGGAAAAAAGAAGGGATTCCAGAGTTGGGCAAAAAATGTCAATAGCCGATCAAAGAAACAAACAAACAAGTTAACAACATTTTAATTATACGATCCAATCTGTTTCTTTTTTTCTCTTTTGTTTTTCTATCTTTTTCTCCGGGGGAAGGGGGGGGGGGTATGGCTCTGATGTCTGTAGTTACTTCACTGGATTATCACCTTTTCGACAAAAAAATTTTGTCTTTATTTCTCAAGATTTTTTGTCTCATCTAAATGTGCTTGTTTTTGCACGTTTTTTTCTGTAGGTTTTTAAATTTGATATGAACTTTCAAGTTATATCTCTTTTTCTTTATGTTATCCATCTCCTCTGACCCCTCCTCAATAAAAACAACAATACTTACTGATGCTCGATCTGATAGTTGAGATGTCCAGTCCCCCAGCTCTTGAAGGCCCCTCCTCCCAGGTTACAGGTCCGCTTGAGATGCATCTCCACCCAGCTGTCCTCCGCGTCATACTCCACTCCCAGAGTGCCGTGGTTCGCTTCTGACACGGTGATAAACCACGTGCCCTCACACAGTCTGACAGTGAGCAGGGAGTTGATTAGAGAGTGAACAACAAACAAACAAAAAACAAACAAACCAACAAACAATAATCTCAGAGTAAACAACAATCAAACAAAAGATAATCAGTGAGTGAACAACAAACAAACAAATAATGAGAGAGTTAACAACAAAGAAACAAACAAACAAACGAATAAAATGAGATTGAACAACAAACAAACAAACAAATTGTCAGACAATGTTCAACAAAAAAACAACAAATAAAAAAAAAATTAATAACAGACAAAGAAACAAACATGGAATCAAACAAACAAGTAGCCAGCGAGACGGCTCGATAATTAAACCCCCCCCCCCCCAAAAAAAAAAAATAAAAAAAATTAAAAAATTAAAAAATAATTTAAAATTTTTTTAAAATACCGACAAAAATCCCCAACAAAAAATCAATGAGACGACTAAAGAATTAACAAAATAAATAGAAATAAAGAACAGGATTCTGTGCTTGTTTCAATGGCATCTTTTTCGGATCATCTGTACAATTGCAGTCCTGTTTTATGTTTACATGAGGGCCATTGTCATTTGGGAGTGAATCTAGAACTAGAATCTAGATCTAGATCTTCTAGTCTAGTTCTAGATAGCCAAGATAATATATATCTAGATATCTAGATTTAGATCTAGATTAAATATATAATTTTAATTCAGTTTAGATCTACATGATCTAGAACCTAGATATAGATCTAGATTTCTAGATCTATGTCTAGAAAATCTAGATATAAATAAGAAACAGGTAAATATTACGACAGGGGTACTTAGGCCTAAAGTGATTTAGATCTAGATCTAGAACTAGATCTACGGACATTGCACACCAGATATTTAGAATTTATCGACCAAGTCAAGATAGATTTGGGGTGAACACTTTAAATCTAGATCTAGGTTTAGGTCTAGATTCTAGATCAGATGTAAATTATTATGTATATCTAGAATCTTGGCCCTTCTAGGGACATCCCTCGGCATCTCAATCTAGATCTAGGCCTAAGCCTAGGACCTAGCATACGACAGTCGAAACTAGGTCAAAGGTCAATCTCTCGATTCGAAGTTTCGATATATGATAAAGTGCATTTCTTTGTGATTTTGTGGTCAAGTGTTGATGCTAGCATCAATATTTAATAGTAAAGCACCTAATAATACTTACTTCTTGCTGATTTTGATGATCTGTAAAGAGTTTCAGTCGAAAATAAACACAAAGCGAAGCTGCGATGCCGAGGGGTGTCCCAAGAAAGGCCTAGATTCTAGATAATATATA